GGTTAAAAACACAAGCACATATTTTCAATCAGAATTCTGCATTGATTTGAAGTGCCTTATACAAAAATGTAAAAACATCTGTTTCTTCTTCGATCTTTTTTGCTGTTGGTTTGCCTGCGCCATGCCCAGTTTTACTATAAACTCTCAACAGAATTGGATTCTTTTGAAATTCATTATTTTTCACTTTGTATTGTAGTTCAGCGGTGAATTTCAACGAATGCAATGGACTAACTCGGTTATCATGATCACCCGTCTGAATCAATGTCGATGGATATTTATTTGCGGTGCTATTTGGTGCATGAATATTATGTAGCGGCGAGTATTTGTAAAGGTTTTCAAAATGTATCTTTTCATCGGGATTGCCAAACTCAGAGATCCATGCATGACCAATTGTAAATTTGTGGAAACGCAGCATATCAAGCACACCGACTTGAGCTACAGCGGCGCCAAATAAGTCTGGTCGTTGATTGATACAGGCTCCAACAAGTAATCCACCGTTTGAAGCTCCTTTAATCCCAATCTTTTCATGTACTGTATATTTGTGCTCAACTAAGTACTTAGCGGCAGCTTGAAAATCGTCAAAAACATTCTGTTTGTTGAGCAATCGTCCAGCTTCGTGCCAGTTTCGGCCATATTCACCGCCACCACGGATATTTGGAATAGCCAAAATACCATCGAATTCATGGACAAAGAAAAAGTAAGGTAAATGGAACACTGGCAATAGACGAGAATTGAGTCCTCCGTAACCATAAAGTAATGCCGGTTTATGCTGTTTGGATTCGGTTTTCTTTTGTACAATGAACATAGGAATCTTTGTGCCGTCGAGGCTTGGATAAAATACTTGTTCTACTTTATAATTATTTCTATCAAAATCGGGTACATTCAATTTAATTTCACTCAAAATAGTTGGCTCTGTGTGGGGCGTAGCAAAATCATAACGATAAATTATGCCATGTGTCAAAAATGAAACAAGTTGATAGAAAATCTCGGACGATTTATGATTACCCTCGAATCCGATTACGGTTCCGATTTCAAGTGGAAACATCCGAATCAATTTACCGGTTTTAAGAGAATTTACTTGTAATATACTCTAAGAAATAAAAATAGAAAAAATGGTGTAGATAAAACTTATGCGATAATATATCATTCCGAGCTACCTTTACGTCGTGAAGATATGATATCACAATTTTATCGTTATCTACGCAATGCGCCCACCTCAATACATCTTTAGAATCTTCCTGGAGAATTATAATCAAATATAAACTCGTTTTAATTTTATTGAATCTTGATCTTCAAAGTCTCACCTCAATCAGAGTTGTCCAATTTTCCTCAGCATAGTTATCAAAATCGATGACAACAAGTCGATAATTTGGGGCTTTCTTATTCGTGCGAAATACTACTTTTGATCCCATATTTGCTACATACTAAAATCAATATCAGTGTTTTAAATAAAATTTATAAAAAAATGCTGTTCCTGTGTGTCTTACATCATATGAAGCATCAAATTCTGTAACAATTTGGGTAAGTGGAATTTTTCCCGTAATCGGACCGTTGCTCTCCAAATCAGCAAAGTATAAGAGTTGATTCTCACCGACCTCAGCCATTAAAATCAAATATTTGCCACAATCACTCATTTCAGTCGATCTGTAGTTTTTTTTAAACAAAAATTCCATTTAAAAAATTGAATTTTTTTGTTATTCAGTTAAAACTCCAATAACTTACATCATCCACAGTGGATTTTCTGGAAATTCAGCAACGAGAACGTCTTTTTCTTGTGATTCGCCAAAACGGTGATAATATAATTTTTGATTTTTGTTCGATTCAGTTTCGGAACCATCACCCTCTTGGTCGTAACGCTGTTAAAATTAAAATTTAACTTATTTTATAAAATTTAATTCAAAAATATACCTACACAGTAGAAAAGCCCTTTATTATCATGTGTCCATGTCATTGAAGTGAATTTAATATTCTGCAATAGATCGGGATAATCTTTTCCACTTTCAACATCACGAATTTTGATTGTCACCCAATCTGAACCAGATTTAGTCAGACCGTATGCAAAAAGTTTTCCATCCTCGGAAAATGATCTGCCATGCAACGAAATCGTTCCGTCCGACGAAAGTGTATTTGGATCAAAGAATACAGTTGGTTCATCAGTTAATGAGGATTGCTTATACCAAACACTGCAATGTAAATTAAGAATTATTATCCTTGGTCAATCCATGGAATGTAGTATTTTCGTACGGTTGATTTTGAAGACCCGAATTTCTGAGAACGAAATAGTATTTTCCATGACGTTCTGGTGTCGACCATTTGTCATAGTTCCACATATCTGTTAACTTTTTATTGATTTTCTGCCATTTACCGTCATTCTCCAAGAATGACTGTGTTATTTTATTTTCAGCGTCGATAAATTGTTTTGTCTCATCTGAATCTGGTTCTTCTAGCCATCGATATGGGTCGGTCACTTTCGTTCCATGCAAAACATCGACGACACTTTCATTTCGACGAACTGCTGGGTATGTATATTTTTGATCGCGGATTATATTAGCCGTAACCGATTTTGCTGAAATTGAGTATACTTTTACAAAAAATGAACAATGACAAATTAGTAATAGTAGTACCAAACAAGATTGCGATCAAGCACTTTGCTAACAAGGTGACGAAATACATTTTTGTACTAAATATTTATCACTGCAACCCCGTCCGTAGATCAACTAAATCGCTAGATTGAAAGCGACTATTTATATAGTAATATTATCATCAAATGTTGAAAAAAATTGATAAATTTTCACAATCCAATTCAAAGTCAAAAACTCTTCAATGGCGACTATCACCAAATTATGTCATTTTTAATGTTTTATTTATACTCTTCAAACCGATAAATCGGCAGTGATAAATATTAAATTAAAATAACCCGTGACTATGTAAAATCCATTGTTCTTGCACGCGCAATGTACATGTTAACCATAAATTTTAATGTGAAATCGATTGAAAAAACAACGTAAAACTTTTTATTCTTACATTTAAAATATCGACACGTGTAGTACTATTCTGGCAGAAACTAAACTCAAGTGAGGAGGAAATTGTTCTTAACAAAAAAAAAAAGAAATTTTTGATAGAAATTGCAATTTGACCAAAAAATCCCCCTCGCTTGGACTCTACCGCCTTAATAAAGCACATCAGCGATTAATCTACGATTATAGCTTACCTTTAGTCTTTCGAAGATAAAAACTACAAATAACTAAATTAAGAAAAAAATCTATATTTCAAATCATATCTATTGAATCATCCCCCGTTAGCAATTGTAAAAAATATGACTTTTCTGTAAAACGTTGCCAGCGCCATCTGAGACGCATGTGACAGCTGATATTCCAAAGTCATTTCAATACAAAATGCGTAACCAAATCGACGAACGCACAGAAAAATTATTTTTATGTTGCTTCTGTGG